AGAGCGAAGGAAGGGGAAATGCACACACAAGGTGCACATTTCCTTGAGAGATTTCATATGCGGACTATGAGTCCACCAGGAAGACCCTAGCCAGAAAAATCATCTCACATTACCACAATTTGAAAATAATAAAGGCACCCGCAAAGTTCTAGAGAGCTCAAAGAGAGCTTAAAAGATATCCTGGAGGAGGTGACTTTTGATTTGAGCCTCCCCAGTCAATGGAAGAAATGGCGCTGCAGAGGAAGGGACTGGCAGAGAAATGGCTGGTGGGTAGCAATGCAGGCTGAGCTCCGGGGAGGATGCACCAAGAGGTGGAGGGAAGCTAGGAAGTAAGAAAAGGGAAGAGTAAGGGCCGGGGGTCATAATGAATGGGGAGATAAAGACAGGTTAGGCCAGAGGGAAAGGGAGGATGCACAGACACAGTTGGAGGCCAGGGCAGGAAAGGCTCAAAAACATTGGCAAAGGCGGTTCACATCCCACTGGTCTGAAAGCTTAGATTTCAAGCACTATCCAAAGTTACTTGAAGCCAGATACAAGAATTGTAGGCATCCAGATTCCCTGGGGACAGGTCCAACAAGCAGTTTCCTAAACCCCACCCTTACCCTAAAGAGTCATTTTAAGATGGGGTCCAAAAATTGGGGCTTGACCACCCACCTGTCCTGTGCCCTCACTACCAACGGATCTGAAGCATAATAAAATGTGAGATTCTGTCCTGACCTAAGAGATGAGGGGTAAGGGCTTGGCATTTGTGGAAAATAGAAGCTACTCCCCTTTGCCAGGTTGGAATTGTGAATTATCCTTACCAACCAGCTGGAAGGTAGTCCCTTTATTACCCCACAGGACAGAGATAAGAGAGGTTCAGCGACTTGGGGGCCCAAGTCCACACAACTAAGAAATGGTAGAAGCAGGATTCCTATACAGCTCTTTCTGATTCTAACTGGAGAGGTAACGAGAAGTGAAGTCATTCAGTGTGCAAGCAAGTGAGCTTTGGATCCAGAAACGCTTAAATTTGAATCCCAGCTGTACTCCATACTCTTTCCTGGCTTTCCCTAACACAGTGGGGGCCCAGGGCAACCTAGCAAATGTCGGGCTAAGACAACTGCCACAGTGTCAGTGTATTTCACAGGCCCCTTGAGAGAGCATTGAAGATAGAAACTGCTAAATTGGATTTTACTGATGTCCAGAAAAGAGAAGTCAGTCACAACATCCTCTGGCCCCTTAGCCTCAGGCAGAGGGGTAAGAGTGTGTGACATCAGGGAAGTTCCAATACCTCACTGAGCCTCAGTTCCTCATCTGTAAAGTCAGGAAAATATCAGATTAAGTAAGATAATATCGTTAGGACAGTTTCTGGTCTATAGTAAGCACTGGATGTTGACTAGCTATTATTACAGTTTGACTATTTCTCACTTCCCAGTGCCATCAAGTTCCTGCCTTCCACTGCTATTCTGAGCAATGGAATGAGATCTTTTCTTGTTTGGACCCAGATACATCCTTACTTGGCAACTGAATGAAATCATCAAACTAGTATTAATGCAACTGTCCCTCTTGACACTGCAATAGCTCATGTTCTCCTGGCTTCTGGACACTGGTTCTTCTCTCTTTTTTAAAAAATGGGTTTACATTTTAAAATTATTTGTCAATTATACCTCAATAAAGCTGGAGGAGAAATCACAAAATAATGAACTAAAAACTGTATGATATGCACAGTGTACAGTTTAAATAG